TTAAATCTTTAATCTACCCTGATTGAAAAACACAGAGATCCTACACTGACAAGCAGAATCAGACACATGAATCCCAATGGGACCAATGTCATATAACCTATTGGAATTTAAAGAGCATATAAAATGACAAGATATCAGTGTTGTGTACTTGAAGCTCAGGGAACAAAATAACTGTCCACAGTTGATTAGCAGTGTGAAATAGTTTTAATAAATGTTTGATAATCAAATCAAATTTTGATTAGCAGTTTTGGTCATTTGAGATGCAGTTACAATCTATCATGAATATTCAATATTAATTAAATGTAACAGTTTACTTTTTATTTACCATAGTTGTCCCCCGCATTTCGAAAAGAAAGCAGGGGACTATTAAAATGGGTTCGTCTGTCCGTCCGTCACACTTTTTGGGACACAATAACTCTCCTAATTGAGCTAGAATGTTCAAACTTGGTGTAGATGTTTATTAGGTCAATGCTCCGATGGAGTTCGAAGATGAGCATTTTCTGCTTAGGGTAAGCAGAGATAAGCAATTTGATTGGTTGATGCTTTGGGACACGATAACTTTAGTTCTAATTAAGTGAGAGTGAGGACACCTGGTGTATAGCTTTATTACATCAATACCTTGACTAAGCTCGATAATGAACATTTTCTGCTGAGGGTAAGCAGAGCGATAAACAGTTTGATAAACAGTTTGATTGGTCGAGACTTTAAACACAATAACTTTCCCTCTAATTGAGCTAGAATATTCACACTTGGGCGTAGGTGTTTATTAGGTGAATGCCTTGATGGAGTTCAAAGATGAGAATTTTCTGCTTATAGTAAGCAAAGATAAGCAATATGATTGATTGATGCTTTTGGGCACAATAACTTTTTTATAATCCGATGATTCTATTGTCGAATAACAAGTACCGCTGTTACGATAATAGACAATCTATGAAACATTATCTCAAAACTTCAAACAGTGATAACTTCTCTCAGAATAAAGTAATCTCAATGAAATTTTCAACATATTCATTTTGCATAATCTAATTTTTATACGTCCACATTTCACTTAGCTGCGGTGGGCGTATGTTTCGTTGCATGGCAACGTATCTTTAACTATTTTAGCAAGAATTGGCAGCTCTTTATCTTATTGAGGTAGAATGTTCAAACTTGGTGTAGGCGTTCATTAGGTGAATGCCTTGATCTAGTTCGATGATAAACATTGTCTGCTTCTAAGCAGAGATAAGCAATCTGATTGGTTGATGCTTTGGGGCACGATAACTTTGGTTATAATTAAGTGAGAGTGATGAAACTCCGAGTATAGATTCATTATATCATTACCTTGACTAAGTTCTATGATGAGAATTTTCTGATTAGGCTAAGGAGAGATAAGCAATTTGATTGGTCAAGACTTTGGAACATAACAACTCTGCTTTTAATTGAGGTAGACTGTTTAAACTTGATGTAGATGTTCATTAGGTGAATGTCTTGACCGAGTTCAATGATTAACATCTGGAGCTAAAGCTAAGCAAAGCTAAGCAATGCTTTAGGACAAGATAACTTTGATTCTAACTGATAGAGAGTGATGAAACTTAGTGTATAGTTGATAATCAGTTTGATTGCTTGATACTTTTGAAAAAAAATAAATGTGCGATAAATTAAAATTTGTCATCTATTCATTTTGGGATTTCGGCGGGGGACATCAGCCCCACTGTTGGCTTGTTATAGATTATAGTACGGTAAAGTTGGCAGTTATTGTTATTTTGGATACCAATCAAACAAATTCCAACTGCAGATATCAAATGAATATTATCTTCATCACTTACATAATGGACAAAAAGGATTCTCTTTCATCTTCCTATTAAACAAATTTGGTAAAAGATTCAACCTCTGTTTGGTAATATTCCTTATAAGCTTAAAATTCATATCTAATGTTAAATATTCTTCTTGACATTTAAACTGATACTATCATTTAGCTTTGCTGACCAATTTTGAATTTCTGTATCAGTAAGCCACGTTTTCAATAGACAGATAAGATTATTTCTATTATTACCGATGCTTTAGGCTGAACACCATTTCTGAACATTTGTAAGTCTCCAACAGAATCTGACAAGATACTTAAAGTAGCTAAGTCTCTAATGCAAGAGCATCCAAAGTCTTAGATATTGAAAACATGAATTATTTGTGAATTTAAATCAACATTGATGTTGTCTGATATCCAATATTGAAGACAAAATAAACATTTTACCACTGGTACATGAATCGTGTACCATATTGTTTCAGTGCCATTTGTAACAAGGGACTCGAAGAAGGAGGCTAGACATATTCCACAAGTCATGTCAAACGGTGACGTTATATTCTTATCTGGAGAGCATGCACAATAAATACTATAGGTGTAGACTGGAATAACCAAACGCTAGAGATTGCCATAACTTTTGGTGTTGGAGCGTCACAAGAAAGTAAAACAAGGACCATAACTCTTAAGACGTAATAAACAGAAATTATTGAAATTAAATAGGCGTCTTCATCTCACTAATGTAAACAACATATATCAATATCTAAACAATTGGATGATAACTTTTGGCGTTGGAGCGTTCACATAAATTGTGGACGATGGACGGACGGACCAACAGACGGACGGACGGGGGCGACAGCAATATACATCCACATTTCCATGTGGGCGTATAAAAATGTAGTATAGAATTAGAAAGGATAAATTTGTGTTTTCTGTTTTGGTGTATCAGTGAAAGGTTTTCTTATTGTAATTGAATTTTGAGGCACCAATAGTTGAAATTTAAGGTTCTATATCGGATAAAAATGATTCGCAATTCTATAGATTCCCAAGTAAAATTTTGCTAATTAATTTTCCACTGACTCCCAGTAACGTTGGAAATGGGTTGCAAACTGCGATGTGAACCCGATTATTTTGTTCCCTTTTGAAGCTAGAGATGATCTAATAATAGGGGTGCTATTCTGTAAAACCAATTTTAGATAATTTTAGTAAAACTATCTGCCAATACTGATTTTGTAACTGATGATCAGCTCATCTCTACTTGAAACAAGTTCACTTTACATTAATTTCATTCGAAGTCACAAATATAGATTTGCTCTAAAAATGATTTTGCCAATAATCTGAAACAGTGACCAAATGTTTATTAGGAGTGTGAATTTCCCCGCTTATAGGAGCCACAGTGGCTATGTAGGCAAGACCATGGCTCGCCAACCTGGCCATCCAGTATTCAATCTCTGCGTTGCCCGAGAAAGTTCATCTGGATTTTCGGCATGGTTCCTCCTTGCCAGTGGTGCAGGACCGAGGGCCCAGCAAGGGACAATGTATAGTCATTTGGATAGGATGCAAAACCGAGGTTCCGTGTACACATTGGCGTGCACCTTAAAATCCTTTGGCAGTTGGAATCCAATATAAGAGTAGGCCATAGCATTGGTGCCTGGGCAAAATTTCCCTCATAACACACTGTACGGTGCATGCCCGTCTTCATTAGCCCAGGCGTAGCAGAACAGTAGGACATTAAACCCCATTTCAGAAATTAGAGGATTGATTTCTTAATCAGCTTGCATAATAAAATAAAACAATTTAGTACGTGATATATTTCTATGATTTGATCTGAAAATGGAAAGCGAGACTGAGTCTTGATTAACAAGTAACGTTGCTACAATAATAAACAATCTATGTCAAAACTTCAAACAGTGAAAACATCGCTCTGAATAAAGTAATTTGCATGAAGTTCAGGGGCGGATCTAGGAATTTTGAAAATGGGGGGCACTGCAAAATGAAGGCATTGACTGCGGAGACGGGGCACGCCGCTGAGGGGGGGGGGGGCCCCAAGAAAATTATCCGTCATTTCCTTGCATCTGTAGCCATTCCAAGAGCTCTTTCCCAGACTGGTGTGTTTGAGTCGATGGTTTGAGTCATTTGGGATCCCTACAACGGGTTGGGAACGGACATATTTGAGTCCGAGAAAAGGCACTTTCAGCAGTAAAAAAGGGCACTGTCGAAAATTAGGGGGGGGGGGGCGTGCGCCTCTCGCACCCCCCATTGAATCCGCCTCTGAAGTTTACAAAATATTAATTTTGATTATTTATTTTGGAACTATTATTATAGCAAGAACAGCCAGCACTCTTTCATAATCCATGCTGAAATGTAAACATGTTGATTGGACTGGCCCACATTACCTACAAAAGGATAAATATGCGACAACCCTTACACACCCACACACAGTGGCATTTTTATATTCACTCTTAAATATTATGTTTCAATCACATGTTTAGAATCCATAAACAATTCAAGACAAGAGAGGTCTGCTCTTAATAATATTTCTACAATGGTTGTTTATTTGTAGCTAAAGTAATGCTAAGTCTAGACAAGGGATGGCCAACCTCCGGCCCATGTGCCAAACTCAGCACATTGGGTGATTAGAAGTGGAGCATTGCATCCCTGTAATAATAATAAAGCAAAGCTTATCATTATCTTCTGCGATTTAATTATTTCGTGCCCCTGCTTTTTAGAGAATGTAGTCTGTTTTGCAGTTATAAATATATGCTTTATCAATATCAATGCAATCATACTAGGGACAATGGACTGTTCTTCTGCAATCGGCCAGTCAGTATGTTTATTGAACTGTGTTGTTGCCAGCTGGTTATGTGTATAAGGTGTTAATAGGCATGTGTTGTCCCTCACCAATCAACTCAATTATTGCTGTAATCGAAAAATTTAAAAGTGTTTTAGAGTATCTGACAAATGAACACTCTTATATCTAATAATGAAGACACTAATCATATTGATGTAAAATAGGTGTAAAGTGTACCGAATATAGTGACACAGGTTTCAAGTACATATTACTTTAAAAAGCTCTTTAAACTCTGGTGTGAAACATCAATCATGATTCCTGAGAATACCTCTTTAGTAGGATAGGTCAAGGTGTCAATTCATCATCTTTCTAAAACCGCATTATACAATAACTGAACACCTGAATATATACACTTTTCATTAAAAACACACTGTTAAATCATATATTTGTTTATATTTTATGAAATTTCAAAACCAATAAAATGTTTGTATCCCATTAGTGAAAATGAAATGGGGTTTAACACCTTTAACATCCTACTGTTCTACTCTTGACTGGGCTAATGAAGATGGGCATATGCCATACAGTGTACTATGGTTGAAATTTTGCCAAGACAACGGCACTACACTGTGTACACAAGACCTCAGTTTCTCATCTCACCTGAATGACTATACACCCTTGGCAAGCCCTCTGTCCTGCACCACTGACAAGGAGGAACGGCGCCAAAACATCCTGATGAACTTTCTCTCCAAACACTGGGATCGAACACAGGAACTCCAGGTAAGCAATTAAGCCAATGTTTTACTCACTGAGCCACAGAGGCTAATAAAAAAAAAAATATATAACACAGTTGTAGCCTAGAGATCATATTATTTTACCATTATCTAGAAAAACAAGCCAACAGAGAGGCTGTTATCCCCGCTGAAATCCCAAAATAAATAGATGACATATTAACTAATTGCACATTTAACTTTTTCAAAAGTATCAAGCAATCAAACTGATTATCAACTATAAACTAAGTTTCATCACTCTCCATCAGTTAGAATCAAAGTTATCTTTTCTCAAAGCATATACCAATGAAATTGCTTAGCTCTGCTTAGCTTTAGCGGGAAATGTTAATCATTGAACTCAGTCAAGACATTCACCTAATGAACATCTACATCAAGTTTAACCATTCTACATCAATTGAAAGCAAAGTTGTTGTGTTCCAAAGTCTTGACCAAACAAATTGCTTATCGCTACTCAGCCTAAGCAGAAAATTCAATATTAAATTTAATAAAGGTAATGATATAATGAATCTATACTTGAAGTTTCATTGCTCTCACCCAGTTAGAACCAAAGTTATCATGTTCCAAAGTCTCAAACAATCAAATTGCTTATACCTACTTAGCCTTAGTGGAAAATGCGCATGATCAAACTATGTCAAGGCATTCACCTAATAGACACCTACACCAAGTTTGAACATTCTACCTCAATTAGAAGCAGAGTTATGGTATCCAAAGTCTCATGGAATTTTATTAAGGTATTCATATAATGAAACTATACTCGAAATTTCACCACTATCACCTCAACTAATCAAATTGCTTATCGCTCTGCTTATCTACAGCCGAAAATGCCAAGTATCGAACTTAGTCAAGGTATTGATGTGATGAAACTATATCCCAAGTTTCATCACTCTCATTTAATTAGAACCAAAGTTATGTTCCAAAGCATCACCCAATCAAATTGCTTATCTCTGCTTACCCTAAGCAGAAAATGCTCATCTTTGAATTCCATTAAGGCATTCACCTAATGTTCACCTACACCTAGTTTGAACATTCTACCTCAATTAGAGGGAGAGGTATTGTGTTCCAAAGTCACGACCAATCAAATTACTTATTGCTCTACTTTCCCTGAGCAGAAAGTGCTAATAATTGATCTTAGTCAAGGTATTGATGTGATGAATATATATACCAAGTTTCATCACTGTCACTTAAACATACATTATGCAAGAGCTAAATCTGCCTATTACAGGTCTTTCTTTAGGCCAGAAATGTTATATAAACTATTAATTAGACATTTACAGTAGAATCTGCATTAAGCCTCTTAATAAAATCTCTGTGCTTTTTGTGCTGACATAAATTAAATATTATGCGTGGATGCATTGGAAGCGAACATCAATACTTGCATTGGTAAATTTGACCGTCGCTGAATCTTGCGCCGAACGAAAATTCTTTACTCAAATCTCGGACATAACTTCTGTAAACTTGTCATTTTGTACCAACCTTCGATACTATACTGTCTACCATTGTGATGCATTCGATAATATTTATTCCTTTTTGTGAAGAAAATCGATGAATTAATTTTATTTTATCAAAAAAGCACATGAACAAAAAACCATCGTGATTTTATCACCTATTTACAGGGGGTGTAACTCTGTATGTAATATTATAGGAGGCGCTAAAACGTGTTTAACAACAAAGTGGCAATGGAAAAGAGATACTAGATGAACGTGACAAAACTCAGTACTTTTATTTTATTCATTCAGTATCAAATAATGTGTCGTTACACCTGAAAACAATGATCAGGTTAGTCGTTTAAAAAAACAAAAGATTAATTAACAGATAATCACGGGTTGATTGTTATTTTTACATTTCTTTTTACCTGATCAGTGGGGTTCCAGTTAATGACAAGATGGTATCATTCAACAGTGACCCAAAAAGTTTGACGGACATACATACAGACAGACGGATGGACCCATTTTAATAGTCCCCTGCCACTCCTAGTCCCAGAGCTGTATAATCTAAGTTATAAATAAACAACAAGTAATCAATTAAGAAAATAAATTTAATATATTATTACATAAAATCTTTTTTTTTTAAATAAATTGATTTTTGTTTTTTTTTAAATGAAGAAGACAAGGACGGATTCAGTATAATTCAATATAAATCAGACTGTAATTCACCCAAAGCTTTTGTCATTTGTTTAACTTTATCTTCCATTCCTCTTTTATTTGATTCTGTTTCCCTTAATAAATCTCTCATCTCCTGTTCTACTACAAAAACCTGAAATACAGCAATAAAAGAGATTTTATACAGAAATAAACCCTAAACCCATCTTTCAAATATTTTGAGAATACTTGAGAATTAAAATGTCAAAGGACAATGGAGAAGGGATAGAATTAAAAGGTTAACGGTGACTGCTTACAAAATGCAAGAGACAAAGACTTTGGAAACTACCAATTAATTAGAAACATTACGATGAATAAACCATTTTTGTACTACTGTTGAGTGAGGATTTATAAATATCTATCCATATCCACAGGCCAGTCCAGCCTATACTACTCTTTCAAGGGAATATTACCATTCCTCCTCCTGTTTCTAATACAATTGATAATTTTCTTATATATAATCAGTTTAAATCTTTCTAACAGTTATCATGAGGCATTTAGTATGTACTTGATAACACAAATTAGCAGTTTTTAAAAATAGAATTTCTATTTGAATATTGAGAGTTTCCCTTTCCATTTTAAATCCCACATCTCATCCATTTTACGATTTACATATATATAAATCCGAAACAAATTGGTCTCAAACTAGAACTTAGAATGTAAAGATGGAGTTCATCACTCGTGGGGCAGATCTTGAGTACATGGCATTTAAAAAGAATTCCGTAATAACGGTGCTTAGACTATAATAATTAGCGATGTTGAAAAAGAGGATTTCATACTAATAAAAAAGTAATGTTAGGTAGTGGAAATAATGGCAGTATAAATGAATATTGATTAAAGTTGGTTCCTGAGAGTAAAGTAGACTAATGCCTTGGGCTAGTTTTTAACTAATAAATCTATAATACATGTAACAATGATACTGTCACACCAGACGTTCTAATTCTTGTTTTTCTAGCGTGATATTCCACACCTGGTATTCCCATTTCATATATCCGTTAGAGAAATTACATCCGTTCAGCTAAATACAAAAGGTCATTTCTGAAGATTTTACAAAATTTAAGCACAAATAGTAGATCATAATATATGAAACCGTTTTTTGACAGTTTGTACTATAATAAAGAAAACTCATTGTTTGACAAATTGCTTCAAGGACAAGGATATTTGGTATTGTTAGAGACTGAAGTTGAGTGGTAATAGCTACACAGAGGACTTGCAGCACACTGATAAATTCCTCTGAAGACAAGAGTTGTTAAACGATACTGTTAAAGAATATCAGCTTGATACCATCTTTTCATAAGAAGAACAGATTACCACAAGATTAGAAAAAAGAGAAAGTAGAAAAAAAAAACATTTACCAAACACAGTTTTGAGTAATTTTGTGCCTACATTATAAACAATAAACTAACAAAGTCGTACTAATTTTTAACAAGCGGTTAGATAAGTGACCATGTCATGTACAAGCAGAGAATTGAAACCACGCCACTTGACTCAATGACAGACATTATGGTTTCAAGCTCATGCGCTAAACCACTTAACCACCTAACCCCCTTACGCAAATAATGTAAAATACCAAAGTTGGATAGGCAACCCAACTTACTCCTTGTCACGTACAAGCGGGGAATCAAAACTACGCCACTTGACTCAAAGACAGACATACCACTAGACCCCCCCCCCCCCCTAATAGTGTAAAATACCAAGGTTGTTGACTCTCCAGTTGGCACAATTTTTATCTGCTTTTGATGAAACTTAAAACATATGTTATATCCCAAAGATCTTGGTTCCTTTCGATATTCACGCATATCGGACCGTAACTTCATGGATTATGGTCGCTGATTGTATGAAATATCATGTTTTTTTATCCAATTTTAAAAACTGTTCAAATATATCATTGTTACATCGTGGTTGAGTTTGAATTTTGTTTAATTAATACAGCAAATTTGTCTGGAGCCTTTGTGAAATTTTTCGGACATTGACCATTATTTGTTTCATCAAATGTTCGGGAATCGTAATTTAAAACATTAAAAATCAGAGTAATAAACAGTGCATTTCGAGCATCAACCTTATTTGTTTCGTCATTTTTTCTGAAAGTGAAATTTCTGGTGTCCGGTAAATGCATCTTCAACAGTCCGATTGATTGGGATCAATTCAGCAAAGAGTGGGATTTCTGTTGAAATCCCATATAAATAAGGCTATATTGTACCACGACCTGGAATAACAGGAAAACGTGTTTGCAAACGTCCAATTTAAAAACATTTCTTGGGGACTGGGGAGGCCACCAAAGACTCCCTCTGTAGACAAGAATTTCCAGGCATTGATTTAAATTCAAGTCAGCAACATAAGTAAAGATATAATGGACCATTTAGAAGTTGTTGTACTCCTGGGCTGAAGTAGCAGGAAAACTTGACCATCCAAGTTCCAAAATTTGCACCTTCTGACTCAATGGCAAAACTGCGTGGACTCCAAAGCCCATATGGGCATAAGGTGGACCACGGCCTGGAAAAGTAGATGCGTTTGTGGCAGTCTAATTTTCAAAATTTTATGTGCCCTTCGAGCTTGTGCCGCTCCCTGATGACCAGCATGACCAACTGCAAACAAGGTTTTTTTCGGGCATTTTATTTCTGCTCCATTAACATTCATGGGGCCTGTACGCCTATGCATTACATGAATTTATAACAATAAAACAGTATGGATCATAGATATATATATATATATGATATATGTATATTTATGGCAGCACACAATTTATCATTAAATGACTGAACAAGCATTAGGCATAAAACTGTAAACAAGCAAACACCATAAGGTGAAACGATAGTCTATAAATTGTCTGAAAGTTTTCTATTCAATACCATTTGTAAACAATGCCAAGAGTTAATAAAAATGCAGCAATAATTTCTATTTCTAGCTTGGGACTAGAATAATATGATAGGTTGTAAGGTGAGCTAATTACCACCCCCGTGTTTCACAATATATTTTTCATGTTTATTGTAATTGTTTTTTTTTGTTACAAATAGCAGTTTTCCAGTTATCTTATCTTACAATAATGATTTATTAAAACAGAATATTAAATATTCAGTCATAAAACATCAAAGAAGCTAAATCATTAATATTTTGGACCTAGAAATTGACACAAATGGGTCACAACGCACATATTCGCCGAAATACACCATAAGTTTCAATCGAATGACAATCTCTAGCGTTTGGTTATTTCAGTCCACACTGATAGTATTTATTGCGCATGCTCTCCAGATAAGAATATGGCATCACCGTTTGACATGATTTGTGGAATATGTCTACCTTCGTTCTTCAAGTCCCTTAGTTGCTAATGGCACTGAAACGCATTATGGTACACGATTCGTGTACCAATGGTAAAATGTTTATTTTGTCTTCAATATTGGATATCAGAAGCTCATATTTTCCCTGTAAGATCACAACATTAATGTTGATATAAATTGACAAATAATTCGTGTTTTTAATGTCGAAGACTTTGGATGATATTAAGTTAAAGACTTAGCTACTTTAAATGTAATTTTAAACAAATAATAATAAATTGTAATTTTTAAAGGTATATCAAATAATTGCAATTTTATTAACTTATGAAGACAAAACTTTTTATTTTTTTATTCAAAGTGTTTGTTAATTAAATGAATTTCTGAAAAATTATATTATTCATAATAATTAATATTTAAAACCATAAATTCATCCTGACAATATCAACAATTATGATCAAAGTTCTGCTTATTTGTGTACACTATCCAAAAAGTTTTCCTTATTCACAATCCTTTCACCACAGTTATACAATTTCGCAGATCTCCTTTACTGGCATGCGTAAAACATTATAGGCTGTCGAATGTTTATTCTTTTGTAGATAATTGGACATTTAAAAAAACATGAAAACATGTGTCATGTGACTTTATAAATAAGCAAAATGGAAGGGAACGAAGACACCCACTTTTCAAATGTTGATGATGTCGACAATAATACATTAATAGAATATGTGGCAAGACCTACGTCTTTGGTGTACTTCTTCTAAGGTATTCGCCATTTTGTTGATCATGTGATGAATAAATTAACAATCACGTGTTAAGTGTAATCACTATTAGTTGCAAGCTCTCCGAATTCAGTTGTTCTCAGTTGTCCTCGGTTGCTGATACGATCGACATAAGCACACTTGCAACTGACTGCAACTAGTTGCAAAGTTGACATAAGCCCCCCTTTACAATCCGTTAACGAATTATCAGAAATAATCAAAATTTGACTGGCTTCTAGTTCTTCCTAGTGCTTAAAATTTATCATACAAAACATGCATCAGTAATCAGATGATTACTGGAAACGTTATTAGAGTAGACTTCTTCATCTCACAAACCCAAAGTCAATCACATAATAACTTAAGCAACTAGAGGGCCACAAGATTTTAAGAAGTAATCTATAGTATATAAATTTAAAGCCTGTAGAGCTTCCACAAGCAATTGTGGATGACAGATGGACAGTCAGGGTGACGACAACACTATATCACCACTTTTCAATGTGGGCATATAAATATTGCATTCCACATACAATTAACCAACTTTATTCACTGAAATATAATGTGAATTTCTCTAATAAATAAAGAGAATGTGTTACCCTCAAATATTAAGAGACATAAGCCCTCGGCACTCACATCGATGATTTCCATTCTCATTTTTAACATTACATTTGTAACATTACTTTTGCAATAATAATCTCTTTACCTGTCTATTGGCCTGCTCTATTTCCTTGCGTTTTTCTTCCTCTAATTGGTTAATATGATCGTGATAGGATCTATCTTTGGCTTCTAATTTCTGATGGAAAGTTTCATCTATTGATTTCAATTTTTGAACAGCAAGGCTTTATAAAATAAAATAATTGGAATCAAAAATGATGCTATTATATAGGATATAGTTCAAAGCTTATTTTATTCAATTTTTCCAATATTGAAAATAATAAATAAATTTTATAAAATACCATGCCCATGCACCTTAAATCATCTATATGTTAAAAGTATGTGTGTGTCGAAGATTTCACATTTGAGTTTCATCAATATCAGACAAATATTGTGACCTCTACAAGGTCCACAACCTTTGTATTACATACATAGAACACTATTTGTATACAAGCGGCCATTTTGTTGGGAAGTTTTGTTTCGTTTTCACGAAATTCGAACTCATTCTTCATTATCTAAACGGTTTTTAAAATCGGATAAAAATTTTGAGCACAAGTTAAAAATGTAATTGTTTGTACAATCAGGAGCCATAATCCAGGAAGTTATGGTCTGATCAGCGCAAATATTTTAAGTTTCATCAAAATCAGACAAAAACTGTGACTTCTAGAGGGTCCACAACCTTGGTATTACATACTTTTAATATTACATGCTGGAATTTTGTTTTATATTTTGAGATTGTAATAGAAAATATTTTTCTTTGATGTTAATTGTTTGTAATTATATCACATGTTTCAATAAAAAAAAAAACAACCCCAAAAATATACTTTTAAACTATTTGTGTTCAAGGAGCAGCCATTTTGTAAAGCAGTTGGTCAGATTTTTACGATAATCTAACTCAACCACCATCAGGATGTAACGATGATATATTTAAGCGATTTTTAAAATCAGATAAAAATTGTGACCTCTAGAGGGTCTACAAACTAAAATCGTAATTCAGGAAGTTAAGGTTTGATATGCACGAATATCGAAAGGAAACAAGATTTTTGTAATATAAACACATATTTAAAATTTCATCAAAATCAGACCAAAATTGTGACATGTATCCACAACCTTGATATTACACATTTTTAATTAACACTATTTGCATACAGGGAGCGACCATTTTGTTTGGCAGTTTCGGTCCAATTTTCAGGAAATTCAAACTCAACCATCATTATGGTGTAACGGTGATATATTCGAATGCTTTTTTTAAATCAGATAAAAATTGTGACCTCTAGAGGGACTACAAGCTAAAAACGCGTTTTTTCGAACAATCAGTGGCCATATCCATGAAATTACGGTCCAATACATGCCAATATTGAAAGGAACCAAGATCTTTGAGAGATAAACCTATATTTCAAGTTTCGTAAAAATTGGACAGGGCGACGACAATATACATCCACATGAAAATGTGGGAGTAAAAAATGGGGTTTAACTATCTACACTCAAAGCCAAAAGGCAATGCCAAATTCAAAGTTTATTTACTGCAACAACTTTTAACAAATGTTCATAACGATTGACAAAATCGAGATAACAAGCATCTGTGGATAATTTCATGAAATAATTCACTACAAATGCACAAAAAGTCAGAGAACCATGAAACAAAGTAGGGGTCAGTTGAAATCAATATCGGGTATGTCCACCCTGAGCTCTTACACATGGCATGGACTGGCACAGATGTCTCACTACACGCTGTGGGATTGTTTGCCAATGATTTTGGAGTGCCTGTGCCAACTCTGCAACAGTTCGTGGTGGCACAGCTTGAGGTCGAACAAGTTCATCCCAAAGGTGTTCGATCGGGTTACGAGCAAAGCGTTCATTTCGACGTCGGTAGATACGGTGACGTCCATCAGGTAAACTGAGGTTGAATCGGAATTCATCCGAGAAGATGACATTTCGCAATGGTGTGTTGTGCAATGCGGCCCATTGCTGTCTGGCAAATCGATGACAATGCAAAAGGATTTGACCTTGGTAAGGTCAACGGCAGCTTTACCCAAGAGCAGCCAGGCTCCATTGGACTGATTGAGGGCTGATCTGATGTTGCCGTGTTCCAACAGTTCCCCTGGCAGTAGCAGTAGCTGACTGGAACCTGTTACGCAGATGCTGTAGTCAGGTGTGGTGATCTTGGCGCTCCAGGTCGGGGTCGATCAGCAAGTCTTCCAGAAAACATTTGCCAAAAATATTTAACGAATTAGGCATTGCGTTTAATGGCTTTGAGTACATGTTTCTGCTCCATTCGGGCTTGTAAAGAAGATAAATGTATAGATATGGCCATTTCAATGACATTATTTATTTGGAAATATTACTGACATGAACTTCAAGCCGGTAAATATGGAAACCATTGAGCAGGTGAACCTATTTTTTGTTATTTATTGTGGAAATCATAAATATTGGTCTATATTTTTTTGTAGCCTGGTCATGATAAGAGAATGGTAGTTTAATTACCCTATTTCCTACAGTTGACAATGACCTCTATTGATCTTTTGGCCGGTTCATTTCAAAATGTATTAAGAACCCTGGTACAAACATTTCACAAATGTTAGGGACTTATGAGGGATTGTGAATATCGGAAAATAGAATGAAGCATTACTAAGTGACTCAGATTTGTGTAGGGTTCTAGGAATTTGGTGTATGTTTGTCTGATATTTAAAAAAAAGAACACACACACACATGGTGCAATCGGGGGTGATGATGAAACATTGTAATCTAATTTCAATCACATTGGGTTCTTAACTGTCATGGTAATACATGTGTTAGGTGTATTGTGGAGGATTAATGAGAAAAAGGATTTGTTTTTGTGCAAGGTAAAATGTCATCTTGTTAAAAACCTGTATAAACCTATCAATCTTGATCTTTACTTGCTGATTTCTTGACTTATATTTTCGAGATTCCAGGAAATATTACAGCTTTATTGGGATTATTTTAATAGAAATTCACATTACCACTATTATATTGAAAACACAATGTGAAAATCTCAAATTTGTTGGTTAAAATCAAATCAAACTTACTAAGTGGCTTGGAATATACATGCACTATAAATTAGTTTGATTAAAAGAGCCAGATATTATACTGAATAAAACTGGTATAGGCCGCCAGGTAACAAAATATACAGACACCTGTAGCTACGTCATCCAAACAATTATGAGCTGAAGGACTAGTATAAATTTAAAAAGATAAGATTATAATTAAAGCCTCTAATAAATATAAAATAAAATATAAAATCAATAGGATTCTTCAAGCAATATAAATTTCAGAAACATAAGCTAATAATTGCAGCCTAAAATCTAGTACTGGTAATTAGTAACTAAGGAGCCTACAAATTATTGATCACGTCAATTACCAGTATACATGTACATTGAAAGAAAGAATGTAAGTCTTTGAAAATTGTTTGAAATCCATTACAAAGTTGAGAAGAATTCAAAAATGTTCAGTAATGTGGTATGTTGTCTAGCAATTGAATTTGAGTTCAACTGTATACTTGCATATCAATTTGGTTCTGATTTAATTAAAGTCACAATGCATCATTTAGATGAATCGCTAATAATGGCAGAACAATTTACCCAATACTACCACAAAATTGTGAACTAACACAATACTTCAATTATATGAAGAATTATTTTTAATTACGACAAAAGTGATGGTCAATTTCTTGCTTCCTGTTATCTCCCTTGATAACCCAATACTACCGATAATACAAATATTAACGGATACTATCAAAAATCAATCCATTTCTTTAATGGGCCAATATTATTAAAAAATGAGATAAGTACAATTATTTGGATAACAATATGTTTGTATGTGGAAAATAAATAATTCATTGAAGGTTTTGCCGTTCCATTTATCACTGATACTATCAATAAATGTTTCAGAATACTGTACAAATTTTGCACTTGTCCTGGGAGTTAACCATTAATAGTAATTGAGGAATTCTGTCAATTTGGAAAAATAACAAGGTAGTACCAGTATCTGGTTTTGTAGTATTGGGTTGGTATTTGTTTATATTGGGTTAGTGTTTCAGGCTTTTCAGCTGCCTATACTGATACAATAAATAAATTTTCCCAGTTTACCAAAGTAAATTTGCTAATTTATCGAATTAACTAAAAAGATTTTTAAATAATTGAAGTATTATGTTAGTAGTATTTCACAAAAATGTGGTAGTATGTCGTGGTATTTGGTAGTTTTTAGTTAGTATTGGGTAAATCGTCCTGTCGCTCTAAAAGGAATATCAGTCCAAAATGGTTTAAGATATGTGGAATTGAAATTTCATCTATGCTGCCCTCTATTCAATAAGACTGCTGCCATTTTGTTGTCTGCAAAAATTTATTGATAGGCCTTTTTTAAAAATCTGATTGAATCCAAGCCGTGAAATTATATAGCATTGGAATTTGGAATTTTTCTTTCTTAATTAAATGTTAATTAATCAATCTTAGTACATATTAGTGTGGATTAGCAATACATGCAAGTGGTGCATCAGGAAGATATAAGTTGAAAACCTAAAACATCAAGTTTAAACATTCTACCTTAATTAAAAGCAGAGTTGTTATGTTTCAAAGTCTTGACCAATCAAATTGCTTATCGATCCTTAGCCTAAGCAGAAAATTCTCATCATCAAACTTAGTCAAGGTAATGATTTAATGGATCTATACTCGGACTTTCATCACTCTCACTTAATCAAAACCAAAGTCATTGGACTTAAAGCATCAACCAATCAGATTGCTTATCTCTGCTTACCCTAAGCAGAAAATGCTCATCTTCGACCTCCATCAAGGTATTCGCCTGATTAAAACCTACACCAAGTTTGAATGTTCTAGCTCATTTAAAAGGAGAGTTATTGTGTTCCAAAGTCTTGACCAATCAAATTGCTTATCGCTTTTCTTACCCTGAGCAGAAAATGCTCATTATCGAACTTAGTCAAGGTATTGATATGATAAAATTATACACCAAGTGTCCTCACTCTCACTTAATTAGATTAAAGTTATCGTGTCCCAAAGCATCAACCTATCAAATTGCTTATCTCTGCTTACTCTAAGCAGAAAATTCTCATCTTCTAACTCCATCACGGCATTCACCTAATAAACAACTACACCAAGTGTGAACATTCTAGCTCAATTAGAATGAGAGTAATTGTGTTCCAAAGTCTCTACCA